CCCCCCACGCCCCCCCCACCCCGCTGTGGGCCGCCGAACCCCGCCGAACCACGCCAAACAGCGGTCAGACCCGCGCGTTCAATCGCGTTCAATCGCGTTCAATCGCGTTTAACGTCGTTGAATTCCTCGGGTTCGCGCACACTGGATTTCATCCGTCGTCGACCCGCTCCGCCGCTTCCCCGCCATCGCCGCTCCGCTCCGACGCGCTCCACGCTCCACACTTCGCTGCGCTCCTCGCTGCTCTCTCTCWCTCTCTCTCTCTTTCTCTCTCTCTCTCTCTCTCTCTCTCTCTCTCTCCGCGTTGTAAGGCGCACGGACAGCCTCTCTCGCGCGCTATGGCGCACCTCTCTCTCTCTCTCTCTCTCTCTCTCTCTCTCTCTCTCTCTCTCTCTCTCTCTCTCTCTATCTATCGCTCTGCGTTGTAAGGCGCATTTTATCTCTCTCTCGCGCGCTATGGCGCACCTCTCTCTCTCCCTCTCTCTCTCTCTCTCTCTCTCTCTCTCTCTCTCTCTCTCTCTCTCTCGCGCGCGCACGCGTTCCAACCTGACGGGCAACCCGTTCGTCACGCTGGAGCGTTAGTGCTCGCGCGGCAAGTGGATTGCGGCCGAACGTGCTCGCGCGTTAAGTACCTTTTCGGCCCGTTCCCCCTGCGCCAACCCCCAGGAGGCCGCCGCAGGCCGGTGCCCCGCGTTTTTTCTTTTTTTCTTTGAAAATAAAAAATAAAAAAAATGAATGCACGGGGTGGTACCCGACAACGAGTACTACCACCCCGCACCTTCACAAACCCCCCYCCCCCCCCCCGACAACGCGAAAGAACGGTTCGCGGACCCCGTTCATTCGCGTCCAACGTGCGTTTGAACGGGGATTGAACGGGAATTGAACGCGACCCCGCGTTAAATCGAATTTCGGACACACAGCACGGGCTCCCATGACGCCACCCGATCTCTATCTATTTGATCCGGCGCACCATCTCGCACGAGCATGGCTGGCCACGCTTAGAGCACAGCAGTGCGATGATAACGAAGCACAGATCAACATTCCGGCTCGAATGGGAGGAGACGCTCATCATTGGTTCACAAGCGGTTAACAGGGACCCCCACTTTTCGGCCCTAGGTAACGATGGATGATCCTGAATTGTCAAAATGTCATGAAAATGCACTTTTGGCTTTCTGTTTCATATGTTTTTAATTTTTGTTTTTTTGTTTTGTTTTTATAATATGTTAGTAAGAAGTGTACTCTATACATCGGTATGAAGTTTGTTTAAAATGGCCTTATGTTTTTCTTACAAATTGAGGTGAAAAATGGGGGGTCGGTTAATTTTTTCTCCATTGGTTTAGTACCTACGTATGGGTTGATCTCCCGACCTTCGAATGGGATTTCATGAACCGATTCGATTATGTTCACCCTGAGCAAGCTTTGTACATGATCAAGGACCGAGTGCAAAAACCTCTCGAATCCATTGCAGAATATCGAAACTGGTTTTACGGAATGTTCGTGAAAACTAAGCGAGGTGAGCAAGTACGGAGAGATCTGTTCATTGACGAGCTTTGCAGCTGAACAATAAGGGCTAAGTTGCAGAAGCAATTTTCCCCCATCACTCACACGCTACAACAAATCATGGCTGCTGCGGAAGAGATGGAACGGAAGTTCGCGACACACTTCCTGGAAGGAGAAGACCATCCTAGAGAAGGAGATTCGACCGAGCTCGCACGAACGAGAGCTGAGCTGGGTGCCTTGCAGAACAAGTTTGAAAACATGGGATTTGTATCAGGACCTGTCACCTATATGGAACAGATAGGCCCCAAACGAGTGACCCTGAGTGAGATTCCGAGCACCTCCGCTCCTATGATACCCCCACCCGTCAGGGCGTTACCCCCGTCACCGATTGAGGCTCCCGTACGATCGAACGAATCAGCTGCCATTTTCGAACTAACCAAAACATTGATTAGTTTAATCCAGGAAAGCAAAAAGGAGCAACGAGAGCACAACGCTCGAGTGGAAGCCATGATGAGGAACATGCGGCCCATTGAGGTACGCGCCCCTCCGATGCAGCAAGGATTAGCCGCGTCACCTGCTCTCGGGGGAGCCGCGAACAATCTGAATGTCTATTATGCCTGTCATCAGCCAGGACATCTAGCCCGTGATTGCCCCCACCGACCCCCACAACAGCGGATCGGGGTCACGCCGATGGCGGCTGCCCCCATCGCTAATGGACCAGGACGAGTCGGAGCTTTAATGGAAGAAGTAGAGGGTGGGGGAAGTGCCCTAGCCACCACTGAAGAGGCCGCCCAGCTAATCCCGCTAGATTAGTATGTATCACTTGGGTATCCCGGGCTTGGAATGATCGGAACAATCAGATCAGCGCCAGAACCGAAAGAGGTGGCGGAGTGGCGACCTTCTCTATGAGAAATGGAGTC